TAAAGAGGATGAAGAGCAACGAACCAAGGATAGATCCCTGTGGCACACCAGATGTTACTGTTATTGTATTGGAACAGTGGCCATTTATAACAACTGTCTGGGTCCTATTTAAAATATATCAAGAAAACCACCTTAACATATTGTCTCTTATTCATTAAATGCTATTTTTTTAGAAGTAGTTCATGGTCAACTTTATCAAACATTTTCTGGGAATCTGTGTATACAGTATCTGTTTGTATTCGGTTACCAATGTTAAAAAATAGCTTACCAATAAAAAGAGCCAAGTTAGTTATAGTTGATCTTCGTTTTACGAAGATATGTTGCACTGGTATGATAGTGTTATGAAAAATTGGACAGATTTCATTATGTACTAATCTTTCACAAAGTTTTGATGCAGTACATAAGATTGAAATTGGACGATAGTTTTCAATGTATTCCTTGGACCCATTTTTATGTACGGGAACGACATTAGCACGCTTCCAGATATTAGGAAAAGTTCCCTCTCGCATGCATTTATTAAACAAAATATGCAGAGGCACACATATACCTAGTATTATCTTTAGTTTGAGAAATAAATATTGCGGGAAGGCCATCAAGCCCAGCTCCTTTGGAGTTGTCTAAAGATTTTATAGCATTTTTAACCTTATCGATGTTAAAATTGAGTTCATTTATAAGAACACTATTATCAGCAAAGTTAGTTGGTGGTGTCCTCGTATCTAGACATAAAGTTGAAGCTTCGTAAACAGATTGAAAACAGGAGGAGAACATGTTACAAATTTCATCAGGATCGCACGAAGACTTGTCTTTAAAAATCATATTTGAAGGAAAACCTGTCCTACCTCTATTATGAGATACAAAAGTCCAAAAATATTTTATATTATGAGGAACAGCATCCTCAAGTGATTCCATATATTTAACGTATGCTTTTTTGCACTGATCACGAAATCTTGATCTAAACATAGAAAATGTGTCATAGTCTGATATGTTATTGTATTTTTTCCATTTAGCCCATGCCATCTTTTTACTTTTAAAGATATGAATTAAAGAAGGTGAATACCACTTAGAATATTTTGGTGATCTTGATACGGAGAGTGGTATAAGTTCATCAAGCTACAAATTCGTAAAAAGTATTTGTAGCTTGTTCTAACGAGAGTGGGCAAAGTGTTCCCAATTAATATTCTACAATCTAGAGTTATTTAATTCATAATTTGCCTTATGATAATTATATTTGCGGTTTCGGCAACGTTTCATAGAGGAAATCTTACTTTCAAGGGGAAAAAAAGCGCAAAATGGTAGATGATAATCATCTACCCGTATTGAAGTATCTTGTGGTAGTAGCACAGAACACTGCTTATTCGAGATAAAAATGTCTAAAATTTTGTGTTTAGAGTTTCTCAAAGTATTGAATTGTAAAGCATTTAAAAATGATGGGAGATAATTCATTTGTAAGCAAGTAGATGATGCACCAGTGCAAACTAATCCCTGCCCAGTGCCACTAGGGATCCAATCAACATCAGATAAGTTGTAATCACCCAGTACGTAGAAATTATCAAATTGAGAATCTGCATATATATATATATATAGGAATCTCGCAAACGGCTCCAACGATTTTCATAAAATTTTGTGTGCAGGGAGTATCGGGGGCAATAAATCGATCTAGCTAGGATTTATTTTTAGAAAATGTCTTTTTGTCCGTGTTTTTAGGCAATGAAAAACTGCTACAATATCGTTAGAATAATAAGGTAAATTTTGACAGTTTATTGATGATTACAAATAGCTTAATTGGTATATTGGGCGGTCACAAAATCGTAATACCATGGTTCGAGCCCAGACCGACTGGACCGACTTTTTAATTATTTTTTCAAGTTCCTTTCTTTTTTGAGAAAATCTATTTTTTCGAGCCCTTTTTTTAGTATTTTTTAAAAAACACGAAAATTTTAATTAAACTAATTGCACTCATGATTTTTTATTCAAATAACTAGTTCAGTTTTTTCGATTATGTCGCTAAGATCAAAAATATTATTCGTATTTCATCAGTATGTAATTTGTATCTTAATATAATTTCCAAAACACACGAATTAAAAAAACCGAGCGAAAAATACCGAGCAAAGCTCGGTCAACCGGGTAATATATATATATATAATATGTAACGTTATTAACGCACACCCTCGGACACCCCAATTAGTATATTATATTATACTCATAATACATACATTGAATTTTTATTTAAACATTTTTATGCACTGATTATTTATCAAATTAGTTATATTAATTCCGGAAGAATGTTGTGGTCACAGTACAAATCCACGAACGCAAAGACTTTCACGTAAAGTTCATTTTTCTTTATTTTTATTGGATGACAGAATTATTAATAATACAAATAAAACTGCACTCTTAAAAGTCTTATTGTCTTAAGTTACGGTCCATTTCAGTTTGTTTTGACTGTACAGATTTAGTGTGACTGTAATTTACGTAGTTTTAATTATTTGTGGGATAAAAAATCACCTATATTAAAAATGATAGGAATCGATTCAGTAAACGATTCTGAACAAACTACTTTCTCAAAGTGCGTTAATTACGTTACATATTGTATATATAGATATATTTTTTTTTGAATCGTATTTAGATGCAATTCAAATATTACTTTATCAAGATTAGGTGGTAAATAAGCAGCACTAATGATGTGTTTAGTTTTACTATCAGAGCTGTAGAAAGAAATTAAAACATGTTCTAGATATTTAGACAAACTTGTTTCGTTGGACAATGAGCATAATGTTGGCTTTAGGCTTTGCAGGACAGCTATCAGTACACCACCACCATCAGATTTATTACTTAAGATGCGATCACGATCACAACGAAATACAACATAACGTTGGTCTATAAATTCATTATCACATATATCAGAGGTAAGCCAGGTTTCTGTTAATACTATAATATCGTAACAGTTACTAAGAATATTCATATATAACGTGTGTAATTTTGTACGTAAACGTCTACAGTTTAAATAATAAATACAAATATTGTCATCCATCTTATATTACCTTTCTTATGATTACTAAATCGTTAGTTAAGCACTTACTTTTTACTTTAAATTAATATTGTCACAAACAGAGTGTATAACGGATGTTTTATAAACACTTATTATAATTTAAAATTTATTGGTCTGGCTTTAAACTTAAAATATATTATCTATTCTATAGTAGAACTAAATATGTAAAGTAAAATTTTTCACATAAATGAAACAGATATGAGAGAAAATCAAAAAAACACTTTATAGCAGAAAAAAAAAACAAAAAAGTAATTTACAATTATTACCCTAGCCTTTAGCTTTATTAACATTAACATCAATACCAATAAGACGAAGTACATGGTAATAAGCCGAACACCTGAGCTTATCACGTCTTTATCCCTAAATGGTCAGGGTCTTGAACGGGTCACCAAATTCAAATATCTAGGCGCAATTGTTGACGAAACAGGAGATCACAGCCTCGAAATACGATGCAGAATAGAGCAGGCACGCAACGCCTTTTCGAGAATGAAAAAAGTTCTTTGTGACTGGAACCTAAGTATTTCTCTTCGAACACGCATAGCGCGGTGCTATGTCTTTTCTGTACTTCTCTTTGGTCTAGAAGCTTGGACGCTGATAGAAGCCATGTCTAAAAAACTGGAAGTGTTTGAGATGTGGGTGTACAGACGTATGCTAAGAATTTCTTGGAGAGACCGCGTACGAAACACCACCGTGCTACAAAGAATGGGCAAGGTCACAGAGATACTTACGACCATAAAGAGGAGGAAATTGGAATATTTTGGGCACGTGATGCGTAACACCAAAAAATATGAACTCCTTCAACTTATTATTCAGGGGAAAGTGGCAGGCAGAAGGAGGCCTGGCCGCAGAAGGATATCGTGGCTGAAGAACTTGCGCCAGTGGTTCGGGAAGAGCACAAGATCGATGTTTAGAGCAGCGGTCTCAAAAGTTGAAATCGCCCTAATGATTGCCAACCTTCGCAAGGAGACGGCACCTTAAGAAGAAGAAGAAGAAGCTTAAAACGTATTATCAATTCTACGGTGTTGCTAAAAATGTGATTAAAGTTATGTTTATTACATTTGAAAAACAGATATATAAGAGAAAAGCAAAAATGACAACTTATACCGAAAAAAAAACCTACAGAATGATAATAACAATATTAACACTTAAATATCTTGAGGCACTTCTTATGTTGAAGAACTGGTATGGGATTGGATTTTGTGTAGGTCATTCGAACTACGTATAGCAAACACTGCTGAGTTATCTGATTTTCGAACAAAAATAGTGGCGTGTTTGACCCAAGTGTATTTAAAATTCTTTTGTTTAGCCAAATCTCCGACCTCACGAAACAGCTTTTTGTTTTTTTTTAATGTAAGGTGCTCATTCATATAAACAGTGTAAGGACTTCCCTGTATTCCCAGTTGATTCGACGTTAAACCTTTATGTAGACGAGATGCACTCAAGATGTTGTCACGAAGCGTGCGGGCCGTAAGTTTGACGATAATATTTCTAGGCCTCCTATTTTCTTTATGTGCGTGGGGTACACGGTGAACAGATATAATGTACTTTTGCACTATAGTACAGTTAACTATTTTGCCAATGGTCTCCAATAAGGCAAAAAGGTTCTCACCTTTCTTTTCAGGAACATTAGAAATCTCTAAATTACACTGTCTTGCTTGTTGTTCTAAACTGTCAACTGTTTTTTCCTCTAGTAACAATATGGCATTATCTTTATTAGTAGCGTGGGATACAGTGATAATTTCATCGAAACGCTCCTTGAGATTAGAATGCTCGGCGTCTGAAAACTTTAAGGACTGTTGCAAGTTTTCAACATCACTAGTCAAATCCGAAATTTGCGTTTTCAACGTAGAATTCTCCAAACTCCAAACGTAACTGATTTATTTCTTTTCTCATTTCCGTCGTAAAAGAATAGAGATCAGTGCCCTGTTCATCAAAACTTACAAGCCTTGTATTACAAGCAATTTTCCTGTAAATAAATTAATTATTACAAATATGTGTTTATCAAAACTGCACATGTAAATTACAAGTTACAAGGGTCATTATTTATTTCATAAGTATATTTTTACACTTGTTGATTTTGTTTATCAAAAATCCCTTGTAAGTTACAATTTGTAGAAAATCATAGCAAGTCCAAAGAGTGTCCAGCGACTCTCCATTCCGTCTTACAGGTGTTTTAAGTAGTACTGTAATATTTTTTTAATTTGTTTGTCCTTTTTAAAATGTAGTCAAGTGACTCAAGCGATGATGGAAATATTAGTATAATGGAACCAAGAACATATAGAACAAGAATTGACTACGGTCATATAGAGACGATCTATGAGTTTAATGGAAGGTTTCGACTTAAAGAACTTTTTGTCGCGAATCAGTTGTAAAATCGTTATTTTATTATCATTTCTAGAATACACTTCAAATTATATATAAAAGGCGTAAATACTTTGTCGCTACTACCTGTGCTACTACTTTTTTTAATGTCCCATCAAAATTAGGCACAGACGATATACCATACAGACATGCGTTTAAATAAGGATTCAATAAAAAGCAAAAACAAAATGGCGGGAAAAGAATGCTGCACACTTTTTTGATTTTAGAACTTACAAGTAGAACCTACAAGTGTTAAATTTTAGAAGCCCTGTAGATTTTTTTGATAAACGTAATTTACTCGAACTTGTAAAAACTTTCTTGTAAAGTGTAACTTGTGAACAAGTAGACTTGTGAGTTTTGATAAACAGGGCACTGTTCTTATATTATAAATATTTCCGTTAATTTTTTCCAACTTTGAATCCAGATCGCGGCTAAACTCTGAAAGAGCACTTTTTTAATCCGATCTAATAGCAATAATACCTTGCATGAGTTCGCAATCAGGCTGCTTTCGCTTTCTTTGTGTAGTTGGATTCTGTTCTGATCGGCTTGAAGAGTAAGTTGTGATTGGATGTCGCAACATAATTAATATTTAGTACATTAAATAATTAATATTACATGTAAAAAATAGCCATGCACCACTTATTTACTTAACAATAAGCAATAGTCTCACAGAATACCAGCGTGAAATAGTAGCTTAATCCTGCTGTATTTCGTATGGTGAGTGTAGAGAACTGGAGACCCTTTTTACTGGAAACGAGGCATTACATCTTAGTCCTCACGGGTAACAACGCATCTGCATTTTGATTCGTAATCGAGGATAGATGTAGATATCTATGGGCCACAGCAACCACTTACCATCAGGTGGACTGTGTGCTCGTTCGTCACCCTATCCTATAAAAAAAATAGTAATCTTCAATTATTCAGGAATTAACATAATGTGTCGGCAAGGAAGGGCATTAGCCAAAAGATCGTAAGCGCCATGCAAATCGTGTCGCTTACGCGTTTACTTGAACACAAAGACGGCGTAAGGCGTGGGCGACGTGGGCTACCGCTTACGGCATCGCGATCCAGGGGGTTTCGCGCCCTGGAGGTTTATGCATTACTTAAAACCGTAAACGCGCCGAAAATATTTCATTGTCATGAATCGATATTATTGACATAACTAAATATGTTTTTATTCAGCCTAGCAACATTAGTTTGCGTTGCTATTGCGGGGAATCCCCGCTGCGAGGCGACCAGTATATATACAGTAATATATGGGGGCGACAAAGGCTGAGGATTCCCCTTTAGAATACCGACTTTATTTCATCGTGGGTGCGTGGCAATCGAGTAAAGAGTGCGGTACAGCAGCCCACGTGGTTGCTGTACGTATATTTTTGCGCTGTACGCACGTGAGTAGATAAACGGAACAGACACAACGCTTCTTAATGCTGCGGCTACACTAACGAGCAACGTCAATGCCCATAAACGCAACAATTATTGCCTTAGATTTAACGCGATAAAATGAGTGGCTACACTTGAACGGTCAACGTCGTTTCCCGTTGAACGGCATTAAATTTGCCGTTGAACGGCGTTAAATTTGCCGTTGAACGGCGTAAAATGTTTCGACCGGGGAAGGACCACGCTCTCACAGAATACCAGCGTAAAATAGTAGCTTAATGCTGCTGTGTTTCGTATGGTGAGTGTAGAGAACCGGAGACTCTTTTTACTGGAAACGAGGCATTCCATCCTGGTCCTCACGGGTGACAACGCATCTGCATTTTGATTCGTAATCGAGGATAGATATGTAGATGTCTATGGGCTACAGCATCCACATATCATCAGGTGGACTGTGTGCTTGTTTGTCACCCTATCCTATAAAATAAAAAAATAAACAAAGAAAAAGAAGATGGTGGATGCTACAAATGCGCAGGAAACGTACACTGTAAATCTATTTATGTTTTATTTTGTTTTCCCGCACCCAAATTGCACTTGAAAGACGTCCAATGGTTTAAGCTAAATAATAAGACAAATGTAAATATATTTTAATGAAATAATAACTAATAAGCCAAACATAAATACTGGTCAAGTGCGAATTAGATACACGTACCCAGGGTTTCGTACCATTGTACACTATGAATTTTGACCTGCAAAAATTGTTTTTTTTTTCTCCTGCTTATTTTTATTAGTTTCATACCGTAAATTAAAGTACTTTTGAAATAATTTTTTTAATTCAATCTCGAAAAGCTTTTTCATTATTCCACTCCATCGCAGCCATACGTGCAACCCCGTGGCACTCACCGTGCACAATTAGCCAAACGTAGTGTGGCCGCTTCAACGCGATAATTCGCGCGTTAATCCTTTGATGTTCCGCCACTCGAGTTATCGGCAAATGGGAAATGGCATTGTTAATGCCGTTGTCAAATTATCGCGTTAATTCGTGGCCACACCTACATTCAACGTCCATCAACGCGATAATTAACGGCATTTCTCCTTAGTGTGGCCGGGACATAAGAACTTGCAAAATTGTTACCTATTTTGGTGGAGTTGTCACTATAGGTGAAGACAAATTAAAGCTCTTGAACGTTTACGTACATTTTGTGACTGGATTAAAGAATATTGACAAACTTAATTCGAAGAATGCTTGTCTGATATTTAACAGTTTATTGAAAAAAACTGTTATGATCTGCCAAAAGACTTTAAAAATAAAAGAGTAGCCAAAAAAAAAGATGTTGGATTATGAAGGCAAGATTAACCTATACAGTCTCCTAAAAGTCGGTATTAAACAGATTTTTTCAACACCATGCTTGTTCAATTATAACAAATATGGATTTGAGATTTATGGCTTTAAACCCACATTATGAAAATTTTGGTTTCCTTTATGATTTAAACAAGTTAAAAAATATTCCAAACCATCTAATATTAAAGTAACTGTCAAGATTTACACACAGCCCTGCGAGTGGGTGAAAGAAGTGATTTTCAACCTTACAATTACAATTAATGATCCCTAATAATAACTACCTTCGTAACAGTTGTAAAACAGCTTCTCCAATAAGTTACGGAAAATAATTTAAAAAAATATACCCAAACATTTACATCTTCATTTAACAATACCGATCAGTACAGCCTCCGCTGAAGGAAGCTTCTTAAAATTAGTACTCATTAAAAATTATCTCAGGAATGCAATGTCACAGAAAAGACTTTTAGCATTGAAAGTTTTATCTATCGAGGCAGATATAGCATCAAGCTGGATTATGAGGCTATAATTAAACAATTCAGCAGGATAAAAAGCAGAATATCTATTTCTTAATTTTTCTTTGAAATTGTTTGGTGTTGGTACTTAATGATTTTGTAAAAATATAAATTTCATGTCAAGTGTTTTGTTTTTCATTTTATATAAGTAATCCGTCTTCTTGTGCGGGCAGAGGGCCTCGCAAAATGTATCTTGCCCACGTATAATTTAGGTCTTGCGCCGCCACTGTGAACACTGTTACTACTGGTTATTATTAGGTCGGTATTTTAATATTTTTCTATAGCAAATATTTATATTGCACAAATTAAAAGAAAATTAAATTGAATGTGTTCCACATTTAAAACAAATATAAAGTTTTACTTAGATTGCACTACTCAATTAGATATTCACTTTATTTTATGGATGCTATGCAACACAATTTTTTGAATGTACTCGTCTAAACAACAACACATCAACTCGCGTTGGCAGCGTGTATTAAAAAGGATTCTTTGTTTCTTTATTTCGGCTTGTCGCTCCCATTGCTTTCAGCCTCCACAGTCTACTTCACTTGAGGATGCCTCATGTAGAAGGTAATGTAAATGTAGGCGAAAAACGTGTCCTATTATCGAGGGTGGTGTGTCGTCCCTAGTGTGGTGGTGTTGGGTTTGTTGGTAATGGAAGTGGTGGTGCAGGGACTTATTGTACCGTGAATCTCGACAATCATTCACGTCTAAGTCAAACACTTGTAAAATTTCATCAAGAAAGAGGCCAGTAAGTACTTTTTCCGAAGAGTCACTTACTGGCTTGTAAGCAACAAAATACTCGTGCTTTGACTTTCTAATCAGCATCAACAAAACAGAATGTTAGTGATAGGAGTGCGTGAATTGGTGACCGGTGACCGGTACCCGGTGGTAGCGTTTCGGTTGATTTCGGCGCCCCTCCGATGATGGCGCCCGGTGCGGTCGTACCGCTCGCACCGCCCTAGGGCCGCAACTGGGCTCAGGACCACGCTTTGTGTCATTCCTTGGGAGAAGCCGACGTTCAGCAGTGGACTTGTAATGGGCTGTAATGAACGGGGATTCGAAAGAGAAGTAATCAAATTAGATTTGCATAAGATGTTTTATTAGATTTATCAACAAATAAATAACTTAAGAGCCTAGCATTCTTAACTACTTATTTCGACCGGTTGCTTTTTAACACTTCTATTCGTAAAAATATACAGTATTGCTCGACAATTTGGGAATAATTCATATTTGGTTCTTACAATATCTTTAGTAATTCTTTTGGAAACAGAATCTTGCTGGAGCATCATTTGCAAGGCTTTTTCGTGATCAATTTTTGTAAGTTCTTCGGCTTTTATTTTTAGGTCGCATCTGTCCGCTCCATCAACCTAAAATTTTAAGAATTAAGTGTTTGTCATTTTAACTGACTTCAAAAAAGTATAACCTCAATTCGACTATATGTTCTTTTTGTTTGAATATTACTCGATATCTTCGGTAGTTGTGAACCTATTTTAATGATTCTATAATACTAAATAGATTATACTTTCTAGGTGGTGTCACACAAATTTAAAGAAAAAAAAATCTCTAAGAGTGAAAATATAGACGATAAAGTTTTTAATCGACAATCCAGCTAATAATATTCTCGCCGAATCAGCATAATGCTTTAGCAACAGAGTCACCGCAGCTGATATTCTGTCAGAGCTAAATAAGTCGTTGACAATTCAAATTAAGCTAAGTTCACGTGTTTTAATTGAACGAACGTTAGATTTAATGCACGAAATATTTTTAATATTACGTGCATTAAAGCTAAAGTAAGTAAGTACTTATATACAGTAACAGTTACATTACTAAGTTAGTAATTACACGTAATACTCAAGTGATAATCAATTCAATTCAATCAACTGAATTAAAAAAATCAAGGCTAGTTTCACGCTATTAGAGTTTATTGATTTTCAGTAAATATTTTTTTCAGTAAGTATGTAAGTACGGCTTTCACAGCTGGAAAATATTTTTCCTAACTTGATGCAAATGAACCAATATCGTTTATCACTAACGGTAAAGACGGCTGTAAAATCTAACGTGGTTTGAGAAGAATCCGCAATTCTTTTCAAAAAAAAAATACTTTTGACTCCAGTAGCCCCCGGGGTCCTGGATTCATTATCATTGTAATTTCTAGAACGGAAGCGATCAAACCATGCCTTGATTTATTAATAAAGCTTTAAAGCTTTTGAATATTAAATATGGGTTCACAACGTTTAACGATGATTCGTGCGTCAAATGCAATCATCAACTGCAAATATATTCATTCCAACTGATGCAGTTTATCCCAGCAGCGGATTTAGAAAGGCTGAAGAAGAAAAGAAGAATAATAAGCGTATTGTGGCGGCGCTGTCGTCGGGCCGCAAGCGAAACACACCGAAGCCTAAATCACGCTATCAAAATTCCGAATCATAAAACAGTATATTTAGAACACCTCCGAACTATCACACGGAGTGTTGGCCGCTCCCCGGGCAGAACACCTTGCCCGGCGGGAGATCTCCCCCTTTCCTTCCACGGCCACAGTATTTTTGTACAACTTTATACTTTTTTAAACTTTTATACAACTCCCCGTCAAAGCGCGTTTTTGAGTACTTATATATGATATACTTATAAAATAGGTCAAGATTACTGCAATAATAAAACGCTTACGTCTAATTAATTATATACTTACTTTACACTTAAACGATAGCTCATAATGCTTATCTACTGTTGGCCATTTTTGCTCAAGCACACTCTTATTCCAGTCAATTATAGGGGAAGTGTCACATAACCTATGAGGTGCTGACAAAAAACCTGCCCACAACTCTGAGCAAAAGTGTGGAGTGACTGGTGTCAGCATTATAATTAAAGATGCGAGTGCAAGCTCATATTCTTTACTGAAGGCTATTACTTCCGGCGGTATTTTATTCTGAAATAAATATCACATATTTTTATTTAAAATTGTTTAAGCTCGTTTTCTAAAACTAAATAATATGTTAAATTAATCGTACCTCTAATAATTTTTAAATATGCAATTAGTTTTATTATCTCATTCATTTACGAATTTCAATAGAATGTACTCTGGTCTATGGAAAATAAGTCGATGGTCTTAATAATAAGGGTCAATATCCTCTGCGAAGTGAATAAAATGTGTAGGAGTAAGTAGAGATGACGCTCAAACTAAATGCAAGCAGAACGCAACGCTATACGTATAAAGCCTTATCTTGTTAAAATATACTGTTAATCGCGGGTATCTAGTATTTTCCTATTGAAAGAGGGAAATGTTTTAATAAACCGGATTGACCTAGAATTTTCGATATTTCTTTTATTAGCTATAAAAGCGTTCGCCGTCAATCGGAGTATTAATTATTGCCGTTGATTGTGTCCGATAGTAAACTCCACTTCGGGGAGCAACTACCACAACTATGAGCAACTATGAAGGATCTCACCGAAGAAGTTTAGCGATTTTAGACGACGTGCTTGTGTTTGTGACACTTGCTGTGTTTGTGAAATTTGTGTTGGTATTGGGTTGTATGAAACTTGTCGTATTTTCTTTATTACGTACAGAAATTGCACTTCTTTGATCTTGACTATTTGATGTTACTAAACTCTAAATCTGACGTATAATTTAAGTAAACACTGGGAGGGAAAACATGGACACGAACTGATGATATTTATATTCTTTGCTAATTTTAGTAAATTATTTGCTGATTTTTTCATTATTATATTTTCAAAATTATTAATGAATGTTGCACTAAAACTTATGTAACTATTTTATCCTATAATTAGACATACTACACAATAAATAAACTTATTTATTTAAGTATTTACAAAAAATCTATCTAAGTGAACAATGTTAAAAAAAATTGCAATTCACTACTACGTCGCTTGCCTAAAACGCGCTAGCCCCACAGAAATCGTAATGATAAGACACGATTTCTGTGGCTAGCCCTGGCTGCCATTGATTTATATATTACACTAAATTAGTAATTACTGAAACGAAACCAAAGCGTTGCCACTGAACATATGAACACAGCCATATGCCTAGCTAACGTCAGTTCAGTGTTCAATGTGACGCCGACAGAGTTGAGCCGAACGATTCGCGACAAAAAATTGGGTAAATTCGTAGTGAAAGAATGCGATTCAAGGTCACAAAAACATAATAAATCAATCGGAATCACTTTCCACACGTTGAACATATCAGTCCCGCCCGTGACCATGAGTGCTGTAAAGCGTTCGAAACGTCGGGTATTTAAAAAGTTAAATACACGCGATAAATTCCGTAAAAACTAGTATTATTTCACTTTCCACCATTGATTTATATATTAGAGTAATGCGTATGTAACCTAAATTTATTCGCGATTGTAGATATTTACATCACGCAAGTAGCAAGGTTGTGACATAGGCCTGCGGTATTCAATTAAATATATGAATCCAATAAGTACAATTATTTATATTAATAATTAATAATAAAGTTAAACTATATGCATACTGCAGCTATACTACGGTTGTAGCACGAATGAGTCAGTTCGACCGGGGAAAGGTCACGCTCTCACAGAATATGAGTGTAAAGTGGCTTCAATCTGATGTATTTCGTATAATGAATGTAAAGTAGAGAAATGGAGACCCTTTTCACTGGAGACTGAAAGTGAGGCACGTCATCTCAGTCTTCAGGGATGACAACGCGATTTCATTTTGATTATAAATCGAGGAACTTACCATCAGAAGGGCTGAGTGTTCGTTTGTCACCCTTATCCTATAAAAATGCAGCACGAATGGGGACTGCAGGACTCTCACAGCTCGATGACGAATAAAGGCCGTGTATAGGCGAGATTTAAAAATAGCTTCAATCATTCAAACATCAAATGTTGGAGGCATGACGTCCGAACATAGCTGTGCACACAAGGTTACTGCCAGACCTGGTCGTTTATTGCGACCATCGGTCTTAGTCCAGCCCACAGAATCCGTAGTTGAGGACAAGCAAATTTGATCGTCCGTTACAATTAGTTCCTGATGTATCTTAAAAATTAATATTTTATAATATTTTAAAAATACATACTCTTAAAACATTAGTTAAGCTCTGAAGTCTTGAAATTCCCACACTAAGTTTTTGAGAGTATTTAAAATGATACGTTGTAGTAGCTATTAAATAGTTTCTTAAACCCCAAATTTTCGTATCATAATTTTGGATATCCGCATTTGATACATTTTTATTCCTAGTCAAATCTGCATTATTTCTATGTTCAATGAAGTCACGCATTGTAATCCATAATCGATGTTGCCAATTTAACACGCCTGGGAGAGCTACAACAGAAAAAGTACGAATAAATATAACTTGTGCATGGTAGAGTCTCAGACCAACTTAAAGAAGGAATGCTGCTAAGTACTAACCTGGAGTTAAAAATCTTTTATGTGGACTCCTTAGTAGACTCAGTGTCCCCATTCTAATAAAATTTCGTTTAGTTAATTAGTTCAATATTCTACTTTGAACCTGAACTGTGTCCAAGAAAAAAAAATGGTAATAGAAATAATTAATTGACTACACGAACTGAAAAACAGGATAGTTTATCACGTCCGCAATTATTTTTCAGTCAGGGGCTCAGGGAACGGTATATATATAATACATATACAGGTGCAGGCGCTAATTATTTATATATATATATATATATATATATATATATATATATATATAAATATATATTTAACGCTGGTACATAGAGCACACTGAACGCTCCTGATCGCGCATAACTTTTTAGATTACAAATGTAATATTTTTTTAAAACAAAAAGATCATATTGGATATCAAATAATTTTTGGCGGGAAGTCAGTAGGGATTTGGTCTGATCAAGTAAACCTGCATGCTGCAACCATAAAGCAGCTGCAGCGGGGCTCTACCACATTATAAAAATTAATTATGATTAAATTTTATCACATTTTTCATAACTTTATCATGAATTTTAATCCAAGGCTACAGAGGGTATTTTAATAATGAGCCAAATGACGTATTTCTTCCCAATAACTTTTGGACATTTGGGTTCAAGATGTGCAAATAGATTTTTTCTCTATTAGTGGGTTGCAAGGACCTGGTTCTTAAGTCAGTGGGGGGAAAAAAGAAAGATGGAAGAGATAAGTATAATAATTCCCCTTTGCAATCCGCAAAAAATAATTTACTGTAAAGTACTGATTGATAAATTATTTATTGTCCTTCACTTGTTGCGAAATTATTTTTAAAAAGGTTATTTCAAAAGTTTCATTATAGCATACAGGAAAAATAAAAATAATAATCTTACTTGCATCAGACCAATGTCTGCTAGTAGCTGGAGGTACATCAGCAAGCATTAGCAACCGCGTTGCGTCACATCCGTAAGTCGCCAATAGTCGCTCCGGATTTTCGCCATTGTGTTTAGATTTGCTCATTTTTTCCCACTGAACTATAACAGCTTCACCTGTACATTTCTCCGTATAATCTTTTCCTGTTTTTTCGACATCCTCAGCACGTATGTATTTGCCTGAGGATTTAACCTTATAACTTTGCCCCATAACCATACCTTGAACTAATAATTTTTTAAAGGGCTCTGGTGTAGTTGTCCAACCAAGTGAATGCAGGAAATAACTCATAAAACGAGCATAGTATAAGTGAAGGACTGCATGTTCCTTACCGCCAATATAACAGTGAACGGGAGTAAAATTTTTTATGTTGTCTAAACTGAACGGCATTTCTTTGTTATGAGGATCCAAAAAACGGTAAAAGTACCAAGAAGAGTCTACAAATGTGTCCATTGTATCAGTTTCTCTTTTCGCAATACCCAAACATTTTGGGCATTTACATGTTATCCAATTACTCAAATTTGTTAATGTCTGAAGCCCAGATTCATGGCTTTCAGGCAATTTAACAGGAAGATCTTCATATGGCACTGGAACTACACCGCACTCAGTGCAATGAATTATTGGTATAGGTGTACCCCAATAACGTTGTCTAGATATCAGCCAATCCTTAAGTTTAGAACTAACAAAATGTCCTCCAATTTTTTCGCCTAAAGCTAAGTTAATTGCTTTCTGATTTTCAATGTCAATATTTATATTTGGATATTCATTGTCAAAAGAGATCTTCAAATGGTTAGACAATTTCCTATCTTCAATGTTAAAAGATGGGCATGCCAGATATATTTCTTGACCCTCAGGGTAGGTAAATTCATCTGTTATATAAATAAGCATTTCTGAATTTGTAATTGGATTAATACACTTAATGCTGGTTGTTTCATCGTCTAAAAATTCTTCTAGAGTAACATTGTTTTTGCACATAATTAAAAACTGTCCATGTATTAGTTTGTATGGTTCAGAAGTCCAAATTTCAATAGGTTTCGTTTTTTTACCATTTGTTATTTTAAAATTAACTGCTATTCCATTACATTCGCCAATCCAATGCTTTTGTAGATTTATGATGTCTTTCCAGTTTTCTAGGCTTTTGCTATTGAGGCCATCATACAATTGTTTTGCATATTTTGTAGTCTTTATAAACCACTGGGTAAGAACCTTTTTTTGAACTTTAGCCCCAGATCTCCAAGAACAACCATTTTCGTCAACTTGTTCATCTGCTAATACAGTTTTGTCTATCGGATCCCAATTTACCTTTGCCTACAAACATTTTTACGGAATTTAAAAAAAATGTAATTAACAGGTTCTATGTCCGCAAAAAAGACATTAGTTAACATTAGTTAATGACTATATTTACGCAAACACTACACATTTAAATAAAACTAGTTTTTACGGATTTTTTCGCGCATATTAACGTATTTTATAATCCCGACGTTTCGAGCACTTCATAGTACCCAAGTCACGGAGGACTGAGGTGTTCAACGTCCCAATTTCATAGTTAATCGTGGCTATGACAATGGGACGTCGAACACGTCAACTCCCGCCCCCATGACCATGGGTGCTGTAAAGTGCTCGAAACGTCGAGAATATAAAATAAGTTAATACGCAACAAAATCCGTAAAAACCAGTTTTATTTAAAAGTCTTCAATTAAACAATCGAAATGTTCATATATGCTTCACAGGGCGGTGAAATGCTGAAAGTTACAAGGCGCTAACCACTTCAATGGAAATAAGAGAAAGCCCGAAGAGGTGCGCTGCTGTGGGATGTATAAAGGTAAAATTTTATAGATTTTGTCGCGTTAAATGTAACTTATTTTCACTTATTTTATTTCCGACGTTTCTAGTGCTTAAGAGTAATCATGGCCACGGGGAGGAAATTAAGGTGTTGAATTGTTGATGTCATAGTTAACCCGGGCTACCTGCAGCATTTGAATATAAATTTTTGGCCCTATCTAAGCAGAACGAGCTTACAGTATCTTTAAGTTTTGCAGTGTTATTCTTAGGTTTGAATTTATTTTATTAATTATAGAATCCCAAGCACATGATAGCACCAAGTCATGTTCTCTATTGAAATTTAGATTGGCAGGAATCAGTGTCTTTTGCGCGGATTTGTGGTTTATGCAATCTAATGTAATGGTGGGGACGATCTTGATCTTCAGACACGTCTTCAGTATCATCAGACGTGCATCACTGTTAAGACAGTATTTAAAATCTGAAGGTAGACCGGGTTAACTAGACCTAGACAGACATCAGGGCGTCAAATACCTCAATCCCACCCGTAATGAGAGGGTACTATTAAATTAAGCACCCGAAACGTCTGGAAATAAAATAAGTTATATGAACCGCGATGAGATTCATAAAAATTAGTTTTGTTTAAACTTAAGCTATAGTCTATATAAACATATGTCCCACAGGTAGGCTCTCTTTTCAACAGTTACATAAATTCGTATTCATAAGTTGCTACGTATTTTATGTTAATGTTCTTTTTATAATTTTATCAGACTGACCTTCATTCTTTAACCAAACTTAGGTTTAGGATTGGCTTCAAATTGATTTTAATATAAATTATTATTTTGTATGAATTTTCATACATCAACAATTTAAAGTCGTCCTCGAGTAAAACGCAATATTTCACGTGTGATATATAGTATATATATAGTATATATATATATATATATATATATACTTTTTACAATATGTAACGTAATTAACGCACACCCTCAGACACCCCAATTAGTATATTATGTTATAATCATAATACATACACAGAATTTTTAGTTAAACATTTTTATGCACTGATTATTTATCAAATTAGTTAACTTATTCCGGAAGAATGTTGTGGTTACAGTACAAATCCACGAACGCAAACAAAAAACGAAAGGCTTTAACGTGCTTGAAATAAAGTTCATTTTTCTTTATTTTTATTGAGTGACAGAATTAGTAATAATACAAATAAAACTGCACTCCTAAAATTCTTATTGCCTTTAGTTGCGGTCCATTTCAGTTTGTTTTGACTGTACAGATTTAGTGTGACTGTAATTTAGGTAGTTTTAATTATTTTTGGGATAAAAAATTACCTACATATAACATTGTCAAGAATAAATTAATAAAAAGTTGGTAATAGAAGTTGATATTGTACAAGTATATTTTTTTGTAGGGTGAAAAAAACTAAAATTTTCATGTAAAATTTACCTTCGGTGAAATTTTGTGTCTTTGCTTCCTTAAGCACAAAAAAACTATTGTAATTACTTATTGGATTTGAATTTTATTAAAAATGATAGGAATCGATTCAGTAAACGATTCTGAACAAACTACTTTCTCAAAGTGCGTTAATTATGTTACATGTTGTATATATATATATATATATATGTGTGTGTGTGTGTGTGTGTGTGTGTGTTGTTTTTTGTGTGTGTGTGTGTGTGTGTGTGTGTGTGTGTGTGTGTGTGTTTGTCCACAAAACAACGTTCCTAGTAGTCAGACAGAACCTGTCAATGTCATACTTTATGGGCAAGCCAACCTAATTAGTGCATGCCCATAAAGTATGACATTGACAGGTACTGTCTGTACTACTAAGAAATTCAGGACTTCATAGGCGTGATTTTACTGACAGCTGTCGCAGAGATCAAGCTATCTTTTATGAAATATAGTGACATGTACACTATTAATTGGTCTATAACTTTATATTCTCTATTCTCACTGCTGCGACTTTGTGAAAGACAGGAGCTTACAAAATGGCGTCGACGGTGCCATTCGCGCGTAGACAGAGAAACCTATAGACAAATTGACACCTTCTTTCGCATTCGTACACGAAAAAGATAGATTTATGCATACGTCTTGCATAGAAATGAGACAGAGCGGTGTGATTGTTTGTCCCTTTCTCCGTGCCGGTTTTTTTGTTTAGCAAACTACACTTTGTTAAACAACTTTGACAGTTCGTATCGATGTAAGGAGTTGACAAGTTGGTTTACGTGAGAAAAAAGTGTTCTGTGAGCTTAATATTGGTGAATCTTGTTCAGTTCAGTTATTAGAACAATTAAAAAATTTATCTAAATATGTTTAAAAGTCATAAAGATTATTGTATAACCTAAAACTACGTCATCGTCCTTTCTCATTCGAGGCCACGCTAATCATTAGTCTATAGGTTTCTCTGTTTACGTATCGCGCGGTCTGTTGTTTATTCTGTGGCGCGGTATCATGACGGCGGGATCGCCGCGCGCTCGCTGCGAACTCGCGGCGAGTTCACTGCGCGCTCGTCTCGCTTTAAACTCGCTTGCAAATCGCCAGTGTACAGTGTAGTTGCGCGTAGCTTCGAGCTTGACTCGCCGTAAAATAGACCGGCCGGCTACCCCGTTTAATTTAATTGTTAATTTGCTATTTAACTCACTAATTGCCATTCATACGAGATTTTCTATTTAACACGCCAGGTAAATCGCTTCCTAGAGTGAACAAAAATAGTGTTAATGATTACACTATTTTCATAGTAGTCATTCATCATTAAAGTTAGAGCCTATATAGTTCCCACAGCTAGACACATACCTCCTATTTCTGAGAGCGTATTGTGACAATGAAGTGTCCGCCGCGCTGCCCCAAAGTGTTTTGACGGATTTCACATGGTTTAGAAATATTTTTTTTCAAAGTCATGTAACATGTAACCTTCCCCAAGATGTTTTCATTCATTGTTAAGCACATGGTAAGCAAAAAGACTAAGGCGACCCCTGTCACGCAATCCGTGAATTTTCGTAACATCCGGGGACTTCATTACAACCTTAACACTGTCTACTACCAACTGGAGATGGCGAAGCCGGCCTTGTTTTTTTTTTAACCGAGACTCAGGTGTTCTCTCCGGTTGATACTACATATCTCTCCTACCCGGGGTAAAAATTAGAACACTCCATTATGCCCCGGGCTGGAGTTTGCGTATACGTCAGAGAGGACGCCTCGGCAGTCTTGAAGGGTACGGCCCTGTCCATCCTATGGCTGCGCGTAGACAGCGACGGCCATCTCTGCATCTACGGGTGCCTCTATATAATATAGGTTCAAAACGGTAATGCCGAAACAGACTGACTCATCGACCACGTCCAAATGGCTACAGATTCCTTGCTAGAGCAGATCTCATCCGCAGAGATCGTGATCCTTGGCGATTTTGGTTATAACCGATCATGCTGGTGGATCTGTTTATGACTTTGCCTTGGCATATGGTCTTACACAACTGGTTACTTCACCTACGCGGATTCCACCTTCCTTTCGACCTTCTGCTGACCTCTCATCCGGACGAATATGAGGTTTCCGTCGACGCCCCTCTAGGATCGTCGGACCATTGTCTTTTCCGGAATGGTGTGCGTGCGAAAAGTCACACTAACGTCGCGATTGCATTCTGCGGGCGGCCGCCGTGTTTGGCACTATAGGTCAGCCGATTGGTCTTTTTTGCATCTTACCCTTGGGGAGCAGTCTTTTCCGGTACTCCTACTCCCATGGCGTAGTCACGAATTCATGGAAGACAGCTTTGGTCCAGCCGATTCCTAAAAAAGGCGACCACTCAAACCTGTCCAACTACAGGCCTATCGCCATCACCTTCTTGTTCTATAAAATAATGGAGTCCATTATAAACTGCCAGCTCATGAGGTACCCTGAGGATCACCAGCTGATTAGTGACCGCCAATACGGTTTTCGTCGTGGTCGATGAGCTGGTGATCTTCTAGTCTACCCGACTCATAGATGGACGAGGCAGTAGAGTCCAAGGGGTAGGCATTGGCCGTTAGATTGGACATAGCGAAGGCCTTCAATCGGGTCTGGCACAAAGCGCTTCTTTCGAAGCTCTCTTCCTATGGGCTTCCCGAAAAATTGTGCTGTTGGATCACCAGTTTCGATCGGAGCATCATGGTCGTAGTAGACGATGCATGCTCTGATTACAAGCCTATTAACGCTGAAATTCCACAAGGCTGCGTGCTATCACCATCGCTGTTTCTTCTGCATATCAATGGTATGTTGCAAACGTCAGTACTGGAGATGCCTTATACATAGGCCGTGCCAATATTTCTCGGGAAAACGTCGCCGAGTACCGGGACAAACTAGTGTCCAAAGTCGAGTCTTTGCTGAACAAAATCTTGAATTGGGTGCGACTAAATCTAGTCCAATGCAATCCCCAGAAGACACAAGTTTGCGCATTTACCGCTAAAAAGAACCCCTTTGTCGTATCTTCTGAGTTTCAAGGCACCCTCCTCTTTGCATCTGCCAGCATCGGAATCCTCGGAGTCGTACAT